AAGGATCAAGGAGTACTCCAAAATTAACCACAATTCATATAAAAAATATGGTCCAATTAACATTGCGATGTCCTAGGGCAGGACCATATACTCCATCCCTGCATTACATCAGAGTAGCACAAAACTACTCCAACATATTAACAATGGCATTGTTGTTATATTTTTTCGTTTGTACACGCTTTTGTTCTTCACTTCACAGATGCTTTTTCGCAATTAATAAAAACCAAAAACAAAAATAAAAAATTAAATGTTGCCTCTGACGGCATTCGAACACGAACATGCTGGGAGCTAACAAATAACAGCCAGCATCTCTACACGTTCAGCTACAGCCAGACATGCAAATGTGCTTTCAAATGCTCAAGTTCAATCACATTTCGTTAAAACACGAGCAGTGATCGGGTAACAAACAATGGGCCTCCGCACACTGGACTGCTCAGTCCGCCTACAACCGGTTTTGTGTGGATAAGAGGGGGAAGAGAGTTCGAGTTTACCTCGCTCATTTCAGTCCGAGAAAATCGCGGATTGACAGTGGACTGACACGCACACATAGACAACATGTTTTCTATTTCGTTTTGTTTGCATGTGCCACCTGCACTAATACCATGTTCTGACCGACATCGAAAACATGTTTTCGTTGCTAAAACTGGTTTTCGACTTAAAACTTGTGTTTTCGTCCATGTAAAATCTGTCAAACGAAAACCAGTTTTCGCTGAAAACTACTTGAAAACTCACGTTCCACTCATTCCAATCGGTATCTTCACTATTTTTTTTCGATTATTTATCGAAGTGGAAGTCATATTTTATCTATTATTTATTTATTTATTGTTAATTGGCTGGCAAAAGTAAAATAAGAATGAAAGTAAGAAATTGCTAATGAAAAGAAAATGAGGGAAAACCATTTTGGTTTGGTTTTTGTGTAGCAAAACTGTAATCAGAGGTTGTAAGAAATGTCAACGAAAACACTAACAGCCGGTGTGAACAGCCTTCAGCCCACAATCACAAAACACGTTTTCAAAGTGTTTTCGTTGTCGGTCAGAACATGGTATAACACCATGAACCAAAAATACAAGATCACGCCTTCTTCTTAGTAGCCCGTTATAATCGCATTTAGGAAAAAAGTTTAACGATATTGACATTAGCCGTTTGTTTACATTTCTTCGTTGTTTACAATTTGGTGGTGGCTTTTTACTGCAATTTTCTTAATTTTCGCCTGTGACAACGTGTGTACACATAAGATAAAGAATAATTTAACACAACGGCATGATTTATAGGTTCTTACGTACTTCTTTAAAAAAAAAAAAAAAAAATTTACTAGCAGAAACTAGCAGCTGTCAAAGTGGATGAACAAAAATTCGCGCTAAATATTAGGAGTGTTTCTTTACTTTTTACAGCTGTTGTTAGAAGATTGGCAAAGAGTATAATTTTACGCATAAAGAGATCGAAAGAGGAAAAAGTAGAGAAACGAAAACTAGCAGAAATTTGCAATCACAGTATGCACACACACATCTTCAAATGCATGCACAAATCCTTACATTCTGCATTATTTCAATGCGTTTTGATAACGATGCACTCATTTTGTTTTATTAAAACGAAGTCAAATAAACTTGCCAACTTTTTCCTTGTGCGTTTTGAACAGCTGCTTCTTAAACATGTGACTGCAAATTTCTGTTGGCAGAAATTTCGCCAGTAGAAATTTGCAGCTCTCTCGGTTTTTTATGCTCTTTTTGGCTCTCTTCTGCAAATTTTTTGTGTGTAAGAAACGCGTTCCAGCATAACAGGCTAACCTAATATTCACGCACGCCGCCAATTTATTGTCAAAAATTTCTCATGCACATGCAACTTGTATGAGATCAACCGAAATTGAACGGCGTGCGTATGAAGCTAACTCAATTTCCAATTTTTGTTCTGCGTGACATTTTGATTTGACGTTTCGCTCAATGAAATCAAATACAAACGCATGCAAGTCAATTTCGGGTGACGCAAAAAAACAAATTCGACGGCATGCGTACCAAAACGCAAGCCGCGAATATTAGGTTAGCCTGTAATGAGTCAAATACACCGATCAGCTGGTTACTTGCTAGTTTCTGCTAGTTTTGCGTTTCCAAGGCGAATTTATATAAGTTGGTGTTACTAGCTCAGCTGATTTTGTGTATGTGTTTCGCCGCACGGCTTCTGATATTAAATTGAAAAATTTTGTTTGAATTTCTAAACACACTCTTACAGATTTTGACAGTTTATGCCGCCAAAGCAGAAGCAAAATACATGTAAATTTTTGTTTGTGTACTCCTGCTATCACCTTATATTAATTCGCCTTGTGCCTTTCTTTACTTTTTCGTTATTTCGCTCTCCGTGAGCGTAATTCTTTCAATTTTCTCATTTGTTTTCTTCCTAATAAATATGTGCTAGAAAAGAAAAGAAACAAAGCCTTATCTCAAAAGAAAACGCCCTGTGCTGTCACAAAAAGTTCATCCGATGATAATAAACATGACAATCAATTTGTTGACATCCATGAACAAAAAAAAAAAAATACAAGTCGTTGGTTCATGGTTGACATCATTTCACTGACTCTGTGGTAGTCGCAAATTTTTTTATATCATAGATTGCAATTTAACTAAGTAAAAATGGAAGCATTAGACATTCTTGAAAAACGCATTGATACATTATCTCGTATTTTGGGGCCGCTACCTGAGGGTGGAAATGCAAACAATGCTAGTGGTTCCTCAGAGCCAAGCAAACCCACGGGTGTCGCTCCGGAAGCAGTGGTCGATTCGTTGCTTTCAGTTAACAGCATGTTGAACGGGGTAATTGGAAATCGCGAACAAATTGCAAAAGCAATGGCAAGGGCTCCGGAACTTGAAAAATATCTTGATCCAAATTTCTTGGAAGAAAACCAGCAGGTGCGTTCCAAAGAGGTATATTTAAATGCAGTAGCTCCCGATTTGCATGCGCAGTTTGACCAATTGGACCGAGTTAAACAGCTGGAACCCACATTAGGCGCCGAATATTTCCGCAGTATACCAGGCGAATGCACCGAAAAACTAAAACAACATTCACAGGATAATGCAGAGTTTGCCCAGCAAGCTGAATTGATAGAGGAAAGTCTGATATTGGCCATGAAGCGTTATGGAGAAATACAAACTGGTCTTTTGGAGTCCCTTGGCGTTATGAACAAGAGGCTTGAAGCTATTGAAGAAAAAATGGAACAAAAAAAACGTACTGAGGCCGAATTGGAACTACCAGTTCCACAGGAATGAAAGCATTACTTGCATCGCAATTCATTTGCACGCGTATTTTAAACGGTATTAAGCGCTTTAGCTATTATGAGTGAAAACCGGAGATGAATTGGCTTAATAGATATCCGATCTAATACTGATTAGCGTACTTGTATGTGTATTTATACTTTATTTTTAAATATATTATCTAGTGTCTCTAAATGGATGTCCTTTGACCTGTCTTAAACATTATTGGAAAAAATTTAATTAAACTGTACAATGGCCTTATTAATAAAACATATAATAGATTTAAAGAGCTCTATTAAGTGACATTTGCATATAAATTTTCGATTTATAAAGCAGTTAAATTATTCTTTATTTTTTATGAATTTCGCTGTAAATCTTAAAAGCATTTTTAATTTATTTGCCACCACTACATTCTGAAAGTGGCATGGTGACTTTTAATTTCAATTTATATTGCTAATCGCTAAGACTTCATTAAGTATAAGATTTACTTGTGCTCACTCCTCTTCTTCCTTATCTTTGCGATGAGATTTTTTCTTTTCGCTGCGACTCGTCGAAGAGGAAGTACCGACAGTTTTGCTACTGCGCTCTCGGTCTTTTTCACGAGATTTTGAACGGCGGCGTGTCTTCTCACGGCTACGCGAACGTTCTCGCCGAGATCTAAAAAGAAGAAGTTGCCAGTTTCAAAGCAATTTTATAAAACTAAAATTAGGAAAACCTATGGACGACAATTTGACCAGTTTTTACTTGTTTTCGTTTGCTTATTTAATTTTTATATATACTTTATATAAAAGTATACCTCAGTTATTAGCTTTGTTCAAAATTTTGGAAATTTCAACAAAGCTTCACCAAATTTCAAACCAATTACAAAACCAGAATTTAAGAATACTTTTTGGGATGTAGCCTATAGCCCATTCAATTTTAGTATATTAAAAAATCCGTTGAATTTTCTGATATTTTTTTTGTTTACTGGCGGTGTCACGTTTTCTTCCCCACAAAGTATTTTCGGCAATTTTTTTATCGAGTAACTTTCCAGCAATATACAAAAAAAAATGCGTAACATCATTAGCAAAACCATTATCAAAAATCAACAGCATTTTTTAATAACTAAATACGTTATTATATACAATTATAGACTACGTAACCTTTTTTTTTTAACCGACTTCATAAAAAGGAGAAAGGTGATCAATTCGTCGGAATATTTTTTTTTTTGTTTTTTGTATATACCGCGTAACTTTGGACCACGTTAACCGATTTCTATAATTCTTTTTTTAATCGACTTCCAAAAAATGAGGAGGTTATCAGTTCGTCGGAATATTTTTTTTATGTATGTTACCGCATAACTTTGGAGGATCACGTCAACCGATTTCGATAATTATTTTTGTATTGGAAAGGTAGTGTCTCAGAGGTGGTCCCATACTAATCTGGTTCAGATGCGATCATTGGATCATGATATATATATATATATATTTTTTTTTAAGTCGTTTTTTTTTTGCTAAAAACTACTTGTTTTGTTTTTGAGGAAAGGTGTTACCGCAAAGTTGGTCCCATATTAACTTGGTTTAAATCTGATAATCGGATCATGAAGAAATTGACGATAATCTTAAATTTTTATATGAGAATCGAAGTCGGTTTTGTTTTTTGCTTAGACTGTGTTTATACACGGAAACTTTTGTCGACAGGATTTTTCACATTCCTTTTTGGTGTTGCTCGTTTCATTTACATACGGCGATTTGTGTCTATGCAATTGTTGTTGTCAGCTGTGAACAGCGGTTCAATTTACACAAACGAACGAGAGCACAAATGTTTATGAAACTTTGTTGATTTTTTTTAAATTTTTGCACTTGGCTTGGTTAGCTATTGATTGTGCTATACTTTTATAAAAAAAATAATAATAAACAAAATGGTACAAATGTCGTGTTTTTATTTGTTTGGCCATAGTTGTAAGGCTGGGACTGCACGTGTATTCGGATATCCGTTCGAATATTCAAGTATGTGGATAAAATCTTTATATCACGTTAATATCTGTTAATTTTGCTATACGTTTAATATCCTTTTATTGTGTTATACGGTTATAAGCTTTATGTTCGGATTTTTTTTTCAGATATTCGAAAATGAAAATATCCGCGTATCAACAAAATGCAAACCCGCGTATCTGAAAAATGCAAAACCGCGTATGTGAATTTTTAGAAATTATTCTCTGGAGCTTAAAAACACTCATATTTCAAAATGGTTCCTTTTTTATAAAGCAATCGCATTTCTGGCTAGTAATTTCAGGACGAATGGATAAGGATTGAGCCAAGAGCTTGTGTGAGCAAATCCAGTTTTTGGCAGCCAATGTCAGTTACGCGGTTTTGCAGAATGACGATACGCGGTTTTGTACTTTAAACGACGGTACATATGTATGTTCTACGTCCTCATGCAAATTTCGAAATTGTACACATACCTTTCGCGCTCGCGTTCCCGATCACGTTCACGTCTTCTTCGTTCGCGATCCTCATCTACTGCACGTTCAGGATCCGGCTTTTAATAAATAAATGTATCTACATATAGAATACGAATAAGCAAAAGTATAAGATTTGCTTACGTCAAGTTTTTCACTTCTGTCACGCTCTCGTTCTCGCTCGCCATCTCGGTCACGATCACGTTCTCTTTCACGCTCACGATCACGTTCTTTCTCACGTGATTTTGAGCGCCGTCTAGACTTATCTCGACTACGTGAACGTTCACGGCGGGGTCTAATGGAAAAAATGTATATGTATTAGATCTGCAAGGTCGATACAATTTGCCCTACCTTTCTCGTTCTCTTTCTCTTTCCCGTTCGCGCTCGCGCTCTGTCTCTCGCTCACGGTCGCGATCTCGCTCCCGATCTCTATCACGCTCTCGCCGATCATTCCGTTCATAGTCGCGCTCTCTTTCACGGTCACGATCATGACGCTCGCGATCCATATGTCCTGGATTTGGCGGTCCACCTACATGTGGTCCCATCATGCGGGGAGGTCCCATAGGCATTCTCATTGGTGGTCCTCCGCCGGGGCCCATCATCATACCCATGCCAGGCGGCGGCGGGCCCATTCCTTAGCAATATAAATATTGAAAAAAAAAAAATCGTCAGCAATATCCCTAAAATACAGTTACATGAAATGAGCTTACCCATATTTGGTGGAGGCATTCCAGGCATTATGGGAGGATGCTGACGCATTTGCGGTGGGGGCCCTCCGATTTGAGGAGGAGGCACACCCATCGGGGGTACACCAGGTGGACCTGACATACCAGCTGCTGGCGGTGGAACCATTGCTGGTCCGGGTGTTAGTTCTTTTATGCCCGATGATGGATGCCATCCCGGATTTTCATTATTCCATTGCGACTCTTGTGTTGGTTCGTAGCCGTAATCAAATGTTTCAGGTTCTGGAAAGTATGGCTCTTCCGGGGGTTGTGGTGCACCAAAGTTCGGCGGCATTTGGGCTATCGTACCTGGTCTCGAATATTCACGGCATTCGGCGGTCATTACTTGGATAGGATTCTCCTTGCTGCTGGTAGTACTGATCGGTCGAGGTCCACGGGGCATACCCATGCCCATACGTGGCGGACCATGGTGCATACCCTGAGGGGGTGGTAAAATGCCCGGAGGTGGCATTTGCATCTGATCATTTGATAATAGGCCGGGCATTATTGTGGTTATTTGGCCTCCACCTCCAGTACCCTCATGTTGTCGTTCGCCTGATTGATTAAGATTTTGTGTCAAACTTGCCAACCCAATGCCGCTCTCCTGTATACGATATCGTTTTTGACGCTCGCAATAAGAGCGCCATGTCTCTTCATTGAACCCGTAATTAAAATAATCAGTAATATCTGCACCTGGTTTTCGCCAAGGCTTATCTTCCAAGGAATCGATACTAAATTCGTGTGCTGGAACACCGTTTATAGTACCAACACCTTCAAAATCTTCAACACTAAATTTCCCGCCCGGTGCACCAGACTTGGTTTTCTCTTGACCTGAACCAGGAGGTCCAGTCAATAAGTTAGAACGTTGCTTAATATTATATGTGCTGGGTCCTGCCTTTATATCGCCAATAACAACATTGATATCATCATCAGAGTCGTCTTCATCGTCCGAGTTCGCCTCACCATCTTCCGAAGTTTTTGACTTAAACAATTTAATGTTAGTAAAATAGATTTCAAGAAACCGAATTCTGATTTCACCTGTTGAGCATTTTCGCCTGTATCTTCGCCGGCGTCAGTAGTATCGGCAGCGGTGCTGGCGGCAGCAGCCGCAGCTTCCTCGTCCTCCTCCATCTCCTGGGCCGGATCTTCAAACTCACCGAATGGTTCTTCCTCATCATGCGCTTCGACCTGTTTTGGTGCCAATACATCACCACTTCCACCCAATGCGGTCGCTTCATTTTCAGATTTCTGAGACAACAGCGGTCTCCCATTATCTATACCGACATTAGCATCCACATTCTCTTCATTCGTCGTGGAATCGGGATTGGACGTGCCATACAGCCAGCTGTCTTCGTTCGTATCATCGGCCATTATAACCTTTAATTATAGTATCTTAATTCACTTTTCACGTCACAAATATAACAATGCAAAAACGCGTTGAATATAATTCCCGTCAAAGTAATCAAGTTTTATAAATGTGGTAAACTATTCCAGACACAGGGTGACGCGTATTCGAATTGATACAAATTTGGGACACAATCGTTTATTTAGGGCATATATCGGCTGCTGAGTAGAAGATCAACCTATTCGGCAGCCAGTCCTAAAACACATTGGCTGCGTTTCTTTATACATTCCGGATAATCCCATTTCACAGCCGGAATAAACAGAATACGTTTGAAATATACGTTAACATATCATCAGGAACGTTCTAAAGAATAAGTAAACAAAAAAGTTTATTCCAAACGTTCAGAATGAATGCAGTCTCTATGTCAAGAAATTTTTCAAGAACGCCCTATTTCAGAATTTGTTTCAAAAAACGCCCTATCTCAGCTGCCGATTAAAAAACGCCCTATTTCAGCACATCTTGAAGTGAGATAGGGTGTTGTTGAAAAAGTTTTTTGAGATAGGGCGTTTCGAACTGGCTGCCGAGCATGATGCAATAAACGATGTGGTATCAGTTGTGACAGCTCGATTTGACACTACCTTAGCTCAGTAGAATGAGAAGAAAAACGGGAACAAATGAATCCCCATATGGGGGAAAAATATAAAATTTCACATTTTCTCCTTAACAAAATTTGCTTTTTTATAGTATATTCGTTTTGAAATGAAATAAAATAAGAATAAATACCTTTTTAAGAAAACAAAGTGTGTATACTGAGAAAAAATAAAAAACATTCAACTATATTATTAGGTAAAGAATAGTGAAAGAAGTAACACTGTTTCACGTAAGGTAGTCAATATGGCGGAATTAGAGCGAGAAGTTGCCAACTGATAACACCTTGTATTATTGCATCATGGCTGCCGAGATAGGCCGATCTTCCACTGAGCAGTCGATATGTAATACTTCTAGAACTACACTTTATCAGTGTTGCCAGAACATTTTGGATGTTGCGGCTAAATTGGCAAATAAAACCGGC